CTAGTAGTAACAAGAAGCTATTAGGAGCAAGGAAGCTACTAGTAACAAAGGGCATCGCTACTAGTAGCAAAGGGTTCAAGGTTGTGCTTGGGTGTTCAACTCTGACTGTGGGCAACCTGCACCCGCGAACTCCAGCAGTTTGGATTGGGACGGGGACACCGTCAGAGTCAGAGTGCGTTTTTCATCATATTTACATACATATACTAACAGTTTCTGCTTGGCACATCTGCGATTTCTATATCATTCATTCCTTTGCAACCACTGGCAATTTCTGCTTAGCACATCTGCAATGACTGCAATGGTTATAAATCATCAAAATTGGCTGAAAAGAGTTAAAACAAAAAACAAATTGAAAACAAGAGTTAATGCACAGTTAAACCCTGTACAAATAAGAATCATTCTGATTTATGCAAAATTACTCTAATTCAATACAAATTGACGTTCAATGCAATTCTGATTTCATTCTATAGAGAGCGAGTGTTGCTGAGGCTGATTTGAAGACGAAAATTTTAAGAAAGCAAAACATAAGTAATATAAACGCTTTCATTTTGCAAAACAACATGCACTCCCTAGAAGTAAGCTAGATTTGCATAAAAGCTTACAAAGTTAAATTTGAAAAGAATAGGATAATATTAGATCTAAATCTGAATTGCATAGGAATTAAACTGGAGTTAAATGGAATTAAGTTATAAAGAAATACAATAACAAAGTTAGAATTAGATTTGCATTGAATCCCAATTGAATTAGATTATATATGGAGTTTAATCAAAACCAAGGTAGAAGTAAATGATAGTTCACATTAGAACTAAAATTTGGCTGAAATAGAATTGAAAATCAATTAGAGTTGAATTAGAATTAGGTCTTTGCAACTCTTTGCCTTCTGGCTCTGATGTACTGACTGAACTGCATTCAATAAGAGCAACACAACTCAGAAGATGACTCTAAAAGCAAAACCTTGCAAAATTACAACGTTCACAATCCCATCAATGTCATGTCATCAGCAAATAGATCAAAACCAGCAAACAGAAGTGACAGAAATGTCAAAAAAAGTGCAGTCTCACACGTCCTGCTCTCTTTCTGAACTACCATGCTGATGCCTGAACGACATGCGCCTGCACCTTCGAAGGGTCCCAGGGATGTCTGAAATTTGAAAGAAAGCTCAATCACAGAGGGTCCATTCACCATCCCAAGTGTCTGGGCCACCACTCATGAATTCCAAGTGACATTTACCCTCCCTGAAAGGATCATGAGCCAACATGGAGAACTCATGTCCCCGAGTCCACTCATGTCTGACATAATGACATCCGCACACCGAACAGGTGGTGCGGAGTGTTTTCAGCATCCATCCTGGTCCTCCATCCCATCCGCGCCCGCAGACGCGCGAGATCCGCAGACGCACGCGCGACCGCGGTGTCTTCGGATCCTCACTGAGTGAGCTCGTTGATGATCATCGTGACCCCCTCGGGGATGTCCTCATCGGGATGGAGCGAGCTTCACCTCACCGAGTGGAAAACAGAGACAAAATGAACGGAAAAAAGCGACGTAAGGACTCCAGGTTGACTGTTTCATCTACCCCTCTCAGAGAAGAGCGATATTTGACCATTGCGGTAGGGGGGTTGATGAATCAACCGTGTCAACATCAACTCAACTGAGCCATGGCCAGTTCGCCTGGTCTAAAACCCACAAAGTACTGGATGGTACAATTCCACTGGTCATCCTCCAGGTTGGCTCGGGGGGGTGGATGGTCGTCGCGCGCCAATCCCTTTTGCGAAACGCCCTCCAGGGCGGATGTTTTCCTTCTTTACTCCCTGAAATGGTCGGTTGCGCGGATGGCAGGGCCCAGTTTTTGGGATGACCATCAAATCCGAAGACAGGCCCAGGCCCTGGAATCATCGGAAGTGGACTTCACCGGCTGTGTAGAGAGGATTTCATGGTCATCCGAAATCGGGACCATGTCCTCTACGTTGGCCCCCCATGCATGCTTTCCAGGCAGTGTACTGCAGGCTCTTGATGTGTCTTGATTAATAACATTTAATAACCTCGCCCAATTGAATTGAAGAACCTCTTATATATTAATAGGGTGCCCTCATTCCTCAAGAGTCTACATTTACCCCTTTTCTTCACCTCTGCCGCTGGCTGCTGCGTGCGGGTCCTTCCGATCCCGGACACACTCGGCGATGGTCACGGCGGTATCCACGTCGATCTCCTGAGCGGAGGGTCCCTCAGGTCCAGTGCCGACCAGCGACTGTTCAAAGGATTCCGGACAGGGAGTATTCCAAAGGGCGCTGCCATGAGGCTGCCATGAGGCTGTTGGTTTTAGGTCTCAAATCCTTGCATGTCCTTTCCAGAGGCTCAAAGCCCTAGAGGCGATAGGTTTGGAGGCACCTAGGGATGTTCAGAGTGTCTGGGTACCCCATGATAGTTCAAAGATGAAACACTGAATCTGTTTTCGGATGATTAGCTAGACTAGACCTTCACATGTGAAACATGTGCCATCTGAATACAAGGCACCCACGCACGTCCTTGCTTGCTGAGAACAGTGTCTGCCCTAATGTACGGATATCCATGAATGTCCCGCCATGTTCAAGAATGGCCTTGCACCTCTCGTGTCCAGTCCAAGTGTTCATCGCCTTTCGCCGCGAAAAAAATCCCCCACCCAGAAGTCTGGGCCGACGGGTTGTCAAAGTAGCGGTGATGATTGGACTGGAATGTTGGGTGAGGAGACTGGAATCCTCGGGGAAAACAAATAATGTCCTTATCATCGCGATAGTTTCATTGCCATCACACTCGGTTTCGGATTGCCATCACACGAGGTTTCGCCGCGGCATTCCGCCTTTGCGATGTAGAGGAGAAGGTGAAAGTCTGCAAACCTTGACCTGAGCGGAGCTAGAACCAATGCAAGTCGTCGGCCTTCAGTTTGATCCGGATCACCTTGCATCATACCTGTAAGACAGAAGGCCCCTAGGACCATTCCAGATTAAGCCAACAAAGAATTTGAATGTATATAACTGTTGAATCTGTTGAAGCTGCAAATTCTGGCGCAGTGCTGAAGCAACATGTCCATACCGAAACAATTCAGGCAAACCCTTGAAACACGTTGAACCCATTAGGCTCCCATGGTTTGGCCCGACCTTAATTAGGCGTGATGCAAAAGCTACCAGACCGTCTTGGTGATTGGGGTCGCCTCCCACCATTCCGGGTGGCTCGTACCCAGGTGGACCAAGTGTAGAGCTTTCACAACCAGCAAATAGCATGAACAACCCCGCTAATAGTAACAAGAAGCTGCTAGGAACAAGTGCATCGCTAGTTAGTAGTAACAAGTGCCTTACTAGTAGTAACAAGAAGCTATTAGTCCCATGATTGAGGTTCCTTCGCCTCGACCCATTTGCAAGGAGGAGCCCCCACAATTGGCGAACTGGTCGAGAGATCTGTTGCAACCGGTCGGCTACACCCCCTGCAGGTCATGACAGACGTTCTGGAGTTCGGACCTGGCTGGGAGTTGCATCTGAAGAATTACTATAAAGAGTCTTTTTAACTGAGTCTGAGCTCATCGGGTCTTCCAAACCCCACACCCTGCATCAAGGCCCCACACCAAGAGGCTTCGGATTTCGGGATCTTGCTGAAGTACTGGCAACGTTGAGGCGGCGAAACAGCGTGCCGAACGGACAAATCCTTCGAGCGGCTTCGAACTTCGAAGTTGCTCAAGAAGCTTTACAATTATATATATATATATTTATATATATGATATCATCTGACAATACATGATAATACAATCTCAGAACAAATCAGAACATCTTCTCCAACGCATGTCCACACCGTATCAAAAACGCTCACAAACGCTCACCGAAGTGGTGTCGGAGAGTTCGGAGTCGCTCTTGCGAGTGATGGGTCCTTCTTCAGATCGTCCCTTCTCTGTGGATGCCTCAGCTGAAGTGGGGGTTCCCCACGCATCGGTTCGCGAGGCTCGCCGTAAGGCCGTAAGCGGTTCGAGATTGGGGGTCGGTGGTGTGTGTAGTCGGTGTTTTAGGGATTGGAACCATTCCACTGGTCACCCTCCAGGTTGGCTGGGGGGGCATTGGAGGGTCGTCGAAATGAATCCTCACTTTGCTTTCAATGCCCTCGTTGGGGCGATGATTCATCCTTTGGACACACGCCCTGACAGAATCATGTTAATTATGTGGATGGCAGGGCCCATGGTTTTTGGGACCATGACATCCGAACGACCAAACAGGTCCCCGCCATCCGCCTCCGAGCTCTACCAGTCTGAAACCCCAACGCCGATCCCGGGCGCTCGCGGAGGTGGTTTCCATGGTTCGTTTAAAAATTGGAGTGCCAGTGTGCCAGCAGTTCCATGTCGGAATGGTTTTGTTCGCCCCCAGGGGGCCGCACCCCCCCGATGTCCTCCGTCCGGGTTTCTGTTCGGAACCCGTCCTCCGCTTCGGAACCCGCTGAGTGCTTTGGTTTGTGGCGTCCCGACACGATCGGCTATAAGGGTCGATGCCACCGGTACCGGTGTTGCCACGATACGGGCAGACACAAATGCACACAAATTGCAAAGCAGTTCCACTTGCCACAAGCAGTTCCATCTAATCTTGATAAAATATGCTTCAATCAATCACCAACATTATCACAGAAAAAGGATCCGGTCTCCAGGAACCCAAAGTCAAATCATGGAGAAACAACGTAGAATTACCCTAGATCCCCAAACTATATTGGATATGGAGACTCATCACCACCATCAAAGACAGGAGATCCTTTCATCCCCTGTCCAGTGCCTAGCTGGGAAAAGCAGGTCAAACTTGCTTGCAACACAGATTTGGGCACAAGGAGATTCCCAAATCAAATGCTTTTGAGTGTCAACCGTGAGCGGCTTCACCGTGAGCTCTCCGCCCTGAGCTCTCCCTCCGACGGCTCCGCCCAGTGGCGTCGGGCGGTTTTCCCTCGGGAAGTCCGCATGCGTAAACATCCGCTGGTGCTGCGAGGCGGTTGGATGGCCAGCGAGTTCGGCACCGGGTGTTTTTCATGGCCGAGTGCTTGGGGAGGCGGGAGTGAGGGGGGGGGGAGTGAGGGGTACGGCACGAATGGGGGCACAGCTGTGCAGATGCTGTGCAGAGGTTGTGCGCAGCTTGCTGGAAACCCAGCGACGTTGGGAAGAGTTAGATGGGACAGTAGGACTCAGTAGGACATCTTAGGACTATGATCTGAATTCTACATGAATGAAGTGTGCCAGAAATCCACCGCTGAAGAAGTAAGTTATCAAGCAATGATCTGTGAATTCGATAAAGGAAGAAAAGGGGAAACATCCCATGAAGAAACGAGTCTTTCGGCATGTATCCATCAGAAAACCCTTTGGGATGTGGGTCTTGAAGTATTTTGTGCACATGTATATGCTGCTGATGTTCGCACTACCCCAAGCAAAGGACCATCCAAGCCACCAGTGCAGGTTGTGAGACCAAAAGAGCACAGCATTGTATGTACCATATATACCAGCTATATATACCATGCGTTCTTATGTCTTCCAAAGAAACGGAAGGGCGAATGTCAACTGAATGAAAGACACGTCTCAGCCCACGGGGTGGTTGTCCAAGGCGGCGGAGCTAGTCGCAGCGGAGGTACGCGCGAGCGTTCGCGGCGGAGCGGGCGGAGTTCGGGGCGGTTCGGGGCCACACCTTCTTGGGCGCCGTGTCGTTCACACGCACGATAAAGAAGTCCGTGGCAATCTTCTTATCTGATCTGCCTGGGGCGGCCATCTGCCAGTGATCTGCTGACCTTCTTTGTGTCTCCTGCCCACCAAAGGGTGATGTTCCTTCTCCTCCATGAAAGGGAATGGTGCTTGCCACAAAAACGTCTGAAACGGCCTGAAATCAAATGCAACGCCCATCACATGGCCCAAAACGTCCTGATATTCCGGGAACCTCACTTCGCACACAAACCCATCCAGCATATGAAGAGGACACCCGACCCCATATCCGAACACCTTCTGAGGAAGTACGTCGAGCCCTAGGGAAGTCTGTCTCTTGGTTGCCCATTCAACATGCTTTTCTTCACACGGACGGCACAAAGTGGATCGGTCGGAGCGGCGATGCGTCAGCCCTATAGGTATAGCCTATAGACACATAAAAACACAAACTATCACGAACTGTTCTATCGCATGTATGTAGGATAAGAAGGTTCACTATAGCCAGATCCACGTGAGCGTTGTTCAAAACCTATGTTTGGAGCGAACGGTCGTAAGGAGGTGCTTACGCACATGTTTGTGCTTTGCTTACGTACGCGACTCACATTTCGGCTTGCGCACCATGCAAAAGACACGCAGTGCTTACACTGAGCTTAAGCACACAAATAAGGACACACTTTCTGCACCACACCACAAAATAAGCTTGTGCGCTGATCCTCCTCAGCACCAACATCCATCATCATCCGGGTCATCCCACATCCATCAGCGGATGAAGACGAGGACCAGGAGGTCAATCAGATGGTGCCACCGTACGGTCGCCCGGTAAGCATCGGTCCATCCGCATCCGGAGGTGCTTGAAGCGCTGTCTAGAGCAGACCGGCGTCTACGCACTGCGTAGGGACGCGAGCCTTTGTCTGCGCACAAAGAAGATGAAGAGTTGTTCACTAGACACTAAGCAAGACCCTGACATATAGAGAATACATGACGTGCAAGAGGACAGGTTGTTGCGCACTACCAAAGACTAGTGGTGTCATTGAGAAGTTGGTTTTGCTTATTGCGCCGCTGCCTGCAAGAAGGTGGTTCAATATGCGTTTTCTTGGGTAATGATAAAGAGTTACAGTAGTACATTCCAAAGGTATGCATGAACATCTGCCTGCAAAGAATGGTTCACGTGTCAAACTCTTTCAGCTTTGAACAGGTTCTTCAAACAAAAATGTCTCGATATATCGGATGCCCATAGTATCCCAAGAATTGAACATTGAAGCAAGCACACATGCAAATCACATGAAGAAAACAAGCTGAAACGCACTTTGCTTGCGCACTGTGCTACAGCCAGAAACTGCTTACGCAACCGCACACAATTCATGGTTTTGCTTAGACTTCTAGTGTCCTTAGGACCATGTCCCAATTTGAACACCTAGGTTCTGAACGATGCTCACGTGAGTATAGGATCATCCAGGTCATCCACTCATCCACATGTAACATAGACATGCTCCGTCATCCTCTCAGTCAGCCTTCCACGACGAAGTCTGGAATCATTTCATCCTTGCCGGCCTAGGTGGAAAAGACCCCAGGGCAGGGGAGGAAGTACTGCTGTAGACGATGGATGTTTCCTGAAGACTTGAAAGAGGGGGACTCCAAGTCAGTCTTAAGTCGCATCCTGATTCGCTATGAGATCTGGTCCTCACTGTTCGCACAAATAAAAAAATGACATATCGGCATATACGTTACACTCTGTATAAAATATCCAATCATCTGAACCTGCGAATCCTTTTGAACCTGTCCTTCGTTTCCTCGGTCAGCTTCATTCAGATCGAAAACGCTGCATAAGGCGGGTGGGCTTTTGACGGAACGGAGTGTCACGGAACGTGTCCGGAACGGTGTCGGTTTTCAGCTGTCTCCAGGAGAGAAGACCGTCGTGGAAAATGCATTCTTCAAGACTCCAAATGTCGTGTAGACTCTTGATGAATAAGCCCTCCCCTATATATATATATATAATTATAGTAAAGAGTTGTGTCAATCCAAATGGGGAGGGTTTGTTAATCAAGAGTCTATATACATTATGATAGATCACATGAATTAGAAGGCACGCTCACGACACTTTGGTTGGAAAGCTGTTTCAAGCGGCGCGAAGGTGTCGTAAGAATCCCCCAGAGGTTTCAGGGAGGTCTATCAACCACAACTTAGATGTCATGCTTGTCATCCCTATTCCTTTTTCCGTCTTGCTTTAAACACTTCCTCGCCCCGGTCGCGCTGGAACCTCTCTATCTCCCGGGACCCACTCCCGGTCACAACGGGGCTTTCCCCCCCCCCTCGCCTCGCGCACCAGGCAGCAGCGCCGCTCGGAGGAGGAGCTACTGAGGATCCCATCGCGGAGCATGGCACAGGCCTGCTCCGAGACCTTGCGGCGGACGCAGACGCAGGTGCGGCAGGTGCGGCAGGGGACGAGCGGAAGAGTCTGAGCAGACGGATTGAGTTGAACCTGGAAGAGAGCCACATTGGAAGCTGAAGAAATGGTGGGTTGGTATATATGGAAGCGAAATCGTCTTTCAGTCTGGTCCATGCCATCAGGTTCCATGTTCATCTTCCCGGGTGTCCATGGCCTTCATGAGTTCACCGCCCAAAACCATCCAAAACCCTCCCGTCATGTAGGCCATAGACATGCAGTCCCATTGGTCGCGTACTTTGGGTCCAACGTCTTATTGGTTAAGAGAAGGAGACCCTTGGCAGTTGCTCTCAGCTATGGCTTTAGTCATACAACATCTCCACCCCGGCGTGACCTCCACGACACACGCCGTGTTACACCCGTTCACGTGGGTCACCACCGGTCCCAAACCGGTGGACCCACCGATCCCAAACGAAGAAAGACCGGCTGAGGCCTGGAAGGCGAATGTTAGACCCTACCCCTGGGTCGTTGACTAACACCAAACGGCTTTTGAGGTACGGTACCACGTGGGTACCACCTATGCGAGTGGCGCACTGGGAGACGGAGCATTGCTCACCGACCAAGTCAAAACCTGTACTATCTACCACAAAGGGTTTGTGATAGTACTCCATATAGGGCCAGGAATTGGACTCACTCCGATACGTTGACTGTAGGTGCTGAGGAGGTCGACGACTTCGCCTGTCCTCCTTGTCCTTCCTCCTCTCAGATTCTGGCCATGAAAGGATGGAGGTCGGGCGCCCCGTTGTTGGCCGGATCTGGGCCTCGGTGCAAGGTGCAGCCTACGGCCACCGTGTGCCACGTTCCGCACCGGCACATGGTCACCAGTTCCAGCGTGGTTTTCGGGTCGGATTCTGGGAGTGCTTATGGATGAGCCAAGCCTGTTTTGGATTTCGACACGTTCAGTCCAAAACGTGGCGCATGGCAGCCTCCTGAAAACGTTTCACTGTGCGAGGCCAGACCCAGCTGGAAAAAAGGGTCTGTGGCCAAATCAGCCACATTGTCAGCCACATTGTTACAGCTACAATGTGGTTGCATGACCAGAAGCACCGTCTCTTGATCTCTTGAATCTCCTCCTTTTCCCACCTGAAGGTGTGGGAAACGTCTCTACAGTGACGAAATCCGAAACTCTCCTCATCAAATTTGATGCAAAGACAGCATTTAGCTCCCTTTCCACTCCCCGGGATACCTAATTATACCGTATTATATCCTCCAAACTCACAGGTCACACCCCCCCATTCGGTTCGAAACAGTTCGCCTCCATTCAACCGCCCCATCTTCTGAGCTTTCGGCGCACGGCGCAAGAGACGAATTTGGACAGGACGTACCTTCGGCGCGACTAATCGGCTGGATGAGATCGATCGAAGGAGCAAAATAATCAATAATTATACAACTTTATCATATATATATATATTATTATTGTATATATTATTGTATTATCTTAATCTTGTAGTATCCAGGATTCCAGCACCCGAATACCTCTGAGTTCTTGCATTTGCACTTGCTGCCACTATACTCGCTCCGTCCGACTCTCGGTCGTACCGACAGCCGTTTCGGAATGGAGCATGACTTGGGGGTAGTTGCGGAACCCCAACGACAATGAGTTCAAACGAGTCATCTCCGGCTTGGAAGGTCCGTGTTTCGATACGGTACTCCATTCTGCGAAAAGGTACTCCAATGGTGGACTCGGCTTGGAACAGTTCGACCTTTGGTCTAGTGTTCGATTTGGAGACCTAAAAGCACAAACTGTTTTGTACTGTTTTGGACCTAACATCCTTGACCACCATATCTAGGGTCAGTATGGTCTATACAGTCAGTATGGTCTATAGACTTGGATGTTCTTTCTACATGCCCTGTCAAGGAAAGTTGAACAATGGCGTATGACGACACAATACATGCATGGGTACGGGCCCATATTCTTCTTTTGAGAATACACTGTTCCTCCTGTCCTTGCAAATAGATCAAATAGAAAAGACCTTTGCCCAAATAGATGGTTTGGATCGGTTTTATTCAAACTGGCCGAAAAATGCTACAGTACTATGATTCACATGTGTATGCATGATTGTCAATTGTGCATGTATATATAAGTATAAGTTTATTATTATGGTTTGAATCCGTCCTTTTCATCCTCACAGCATGACTGGAACTAGCTGGAGAACCTCCAACCAGGCTGGAACGAGCTCGTTGGGCTCCCGGGCTTGGTAAAGTGCGCATCGGTGGAGTGCTCGTTTTGTAATCTGCGGAGAGTCGGCACGGCTCTGATCGCTGAAGGGCGCGGGGCTCTGATCGCGTGGTTTGGCCTTCTCTTGGACCCAAGAGCGACTCCCGAAGACTCGTCTCGGGGACTGGAAGAAGATGCCGACGTTTGGACCGTGGGGGATGGATCGATCCGAACGTCCGGACGGTGGGTGGGTGACCTATCATGTCGTGTCATGTCATGTCATGTCCTTTCATTCCCTGTCCAACGCCCCCGTTGGTACTGTGGAAAACAGAGCAAACATCAGAAAACTGGAATCTATCTATCTATCTATATATTATATATATAATTATACAGTATATCATATATATGTGTGTGTAGACACCCCATTTGGATCTGTTTGGGGTGTGGTGTTTGGACCTAAAGGGGTGGTTCATTTATCACCCCGGTAGCCAGCTGTTTGACCGCACCCCCGTGGGATGGGGTGTGGTAACCCCTGTGGGATGGGGTGTGGTACGCGGCTGTCAAAGAAGGGATGGGTTGCCTCCAAGATCTGGTTGGCACAGGGAGACCTTCGGCGTGATTTCTGGCGGACCAACCACCGTTTGAACACCAACCGCTTGGCCACGCCTTGGTGTCTGACCACCAACTCACCAAGTCACCGAGCTACGAACGTAGCATGGACGCTACGAACGTAGCAAAGGGCATCGCGATTCGGAGCAAGGACGCTACTAGGGTCTAGGGGCTGGCCTTGCTATTAGGAACAAGAAGCCACTAGGAACAAGGAACAAGCTCTCAGGTTTCCAGCCTGGCAATGCGCAGGACCTCCTCAGGAGATAATAAGAGGTCATCCTCCTGACGGGTAAGGACTCCATCCGGCGGGGGCGTTCTGAGGAAGAGAGCGTTTGGGGCGGCATTTCGATCGAAGAATATATCAATTTCTTACTCATTTGATCAACCTTAGGCATTTGGTCAAGCGGCTTTCATATGTTGGCTACCAAAAATCAGTAGCATGTCTTAATTACAAGTAGCTAATAGCTAGTTCTATTTTTCTGGGAGAACATGAACTGATCTTCTCGCACGGGTGCATTCTCACAAAAACCATACCTCGATGGATTCTTGGTTGCGTTCCCTCGACGTCTTTGGCCGGAAAACACACCGACCTTTCACGAGTATGGTATACCCGAACAGCATACCGCCTTCACCATGAACAGAGTATTTTTTTCAGGTTGACAACCTCATTGCCAACTTAGTGATTCTCTTTTCTGCCATAGGTCACTTTCATTTCGGAGACAGTCGAGCTACCTCTTCTCCCGGCAGTCCCCGCCCTTCATGGCCCCAGAATCTCTACGCCCAAAAAAGAACACCGCGTGTTTACGCGCGATCCCAGCCGTGCGCGTCACCGGCGAGCCGGCGCTCCAGAGGCAAGCTGGTGAAGACCCAACCAATGCATTCCAAACCGAGCGCCTCGGCGATCCTGCAACTGCCGACGCGATGGTGGCGATGTTCGCGTTCGCGGGGCGACCTCGTCTCCGCCCTCGTCGGATCCGATGCCGGGAAGCGAGTCCGCATGTGTCAGTGTCCTAGACCTCTCAAGTGAGGTCTTGTCCTGTCGTATTTGGACGGTTTGAAGGGCATGACCCCGTATACATGGAATATGATATGAGTGGGTGGTCTTAGGTCTTCACCTGTCCATGCGTCAAGAAACCGCCCCAAATCCTCGACGGCCGCGATGCTATGGAGGTACCAGCTGTGTTCCCCCATGACATCGCTTTGGGTCAAGGTTTGTCATTGAAAGAGAACTCCAAAAAGCCAGACTCTCAGAGCCTTCGAGAAAAAATGCCGAACCCTTGCTGAATGCCTTCTTACTTGGGCTAAGAGGCACAAACAAGAAACGCCCCCGAAGAGCCCCACGAAGCTGAAAACCAAGGGCCAAATGCTTCCTTTACAGATCTTTACAGACCGGTGTCCGGTGTTCTGGTTCGTCGGTCTCAAACTCGAGCGTAGATCAAGCAAATTCAAACTAAGACCCTGAACGTAATAGAACATGACATACAGACCCCGACACCAAATCGGACTGTGATATACTGTGATATATATATACTTACTCCTGTCGACTCCATGCTCGACACCTGGGGTCCGCTGCCGGCTAACAGCAACTACTACGAACTTTGGGCTGCGCTGACAGCATCAGATTCTGGATTACAACCACGGACAACCACGGACCCATTCGCCGGCAGCAAATGACGGCTTGTTTTGAAAAGGTCGACGGCCAAGTAGAAGCATCCACCTCACCGAAGTGTGTGGATTCCCTGTGTGGAGACCTTCTTGTGGAAACATGTGGAAACTGTGTTGTGTCGCGACTTGCCATATGAAAGGCTGGCTGCTTGACAATGGGAGCGAATGCCCTTTAAGAAGCTTCAGCTGAGCTTGCACAGCTCTGCTTTCACCCCCATATTCTGGATCGCCCCAGGTAACAACGTAAACTCTCACATCCTGTTTGCCCATCCGTCCATCAAACCAGCTGGACATAGCTGGACACCCCAAGCCGGCGATGGCAGACGTCACAAAGAGTGGCTCCATCCAGTCATCGGTCGCTCATCGGTCGGTCATTAGTCCCCGTCCTGTTGACACGGGCCATTTCCTGATCGTCGGTCAAGGGCTCGGCGATTTCGCCGACCATCCTGGGCGGCGGTGAGTGACTCGCCACGACCAGTCAGTGGCGTTGGCAGTGTGGAAGCGACGTTGATCGAAACACATCTGGGAATGCGTGAATCGTTCTCTCTTGTTCAGATGATGATGATGATGATGATGATGATGATGATGATGATGATGATGATGATG